CGGAAGGAGCCCTGACATCTTGTGCATGCAGATGGACACCAGCTGGGCGGAGGGGGGCGGGGAGGAGTGGAAGGATGCTCAGCCCTTCTGACACCTTCCCGATCGTCCCTCCGCGCTTCATATAGGAGGATAATGAGTGGAAACAAACCCCGTGTGGGCGCTCCTTTCTCATGCCTTTACGGTGGGAACCAGACGAGAAAAAAAAAAGGTTCCAGCATGAAGATTCATCACGCGAGATGCATAAAAGAAACGACTCGTCCGACGGGTTCTGTCCCGGTCTGAGAATTCCCCTGACTTTGCTCCCCCTCCATATAAAAAAAAAGAGAGAGGGAAGAGGGCACCGTGCTTTACCATCCATCAGTTTACTCAGCACACACGAGATCAAGTTTCTTCCAGCTGGAATGGCCCACTTTGATTGAATAATCGCAGCCTGTCCAGGACTGGACTCGAACCCAGGAAAGAGATTCTTTTGTCCTTTCCCACGCCTGTCACGAAACAGTGTCAACAGATGCAATCTCCCCACTCCCGTCCCTTTTTTTTTTTCGTTTCCCTCTCGTCATTTATCTCGGGACGGGAACAAGTTGTTGCCCGATCGGGTCTTGGAGGTGCAAATAATTGCTCCCTAACAATGAATGGAGAGGAAACGGGGGAAATGCCTCGGGCCTTTACGAAGGCCCTTTATAATAATGAAAAGAAAGGGTGCATGCAATGCCATGCGAGTTTCGTCCATTCTCCTCGCATGCAATCATCACGGCAGGCCGAGGAATTCGGGAAGGAAAAAAAAAATCCTCTTTGGGATGACACGGATCTGTCATTTGGCATGACAATAGATGGGTCTCGAGCAGGAATTCCGAGGGAGGAAAAAAAAAACTCACCATTGCCGACGCCGTCATTGTCGCCTTCGACATGCCAGGCCTCGATGATCAACGAGAAGTCTCCCTGAGAAAATAAAAGATGGGGATTTCTGGACCTGGTTTGACATCTCACTGACATGACAGAGAAATATGACCGAGATTAAACGAGGCCGCCGCTTTTGAATCTATAATTAGCAGGAGCTGACTCCAGACGAGAAGGGGGGGTAGGGAAGGAAAGAAAAAAGGGGTTCGTCCCCCCCGCCCCCCCCCGACACAGCATGGGAGGGGGGTGAAAAAAAACCGCGTTGCCACTCCTCCTACTGTTTTACAAGGAAACCTTTTTTCTTCTGCCACCGCGTATTGCGGCAGATGTGTTCCATAGAGGGGAGGAAGTGGGTAATAAATGAGTGAAACCGTCGGAGGCCGAGTCGACGTGAAATTGGGAGATCCGCGCGTTTTGGGGGCCATTATCAAGGGAGAAACTCAAGGCCACATCACGTCCTTTCGGTCTACTCTCGGCCGTTAATAATTTATTTGCTTTGGTTCTCGAGCAAAGATGCGAAGACTGACTCACCGGCCAGGTGAAATTGAGGGGGATGGAATTGATGAGCGGATTGCGGGATCCGCGATCCGTGAAGAACACGGAATTGTCCCCAATCACGGGGATCCGTCCGACACCGAAAGTGCATTGCCCGCTCTCGATGCGCACCTGGTAATGCGCCAAACACAGGTGAAAACGCGTGTGGCAAACACCAGAACAGACGCCGGACTGAGGGTCGGGGACGCCGGAGCAGCAGTCGCCTTGGTCGTCTTTCCCGAGGTCGTTGTGGAAGGCGCGGAGGCGAAGTTCGAACACGCCTTCGCTCTGGGCCTGAGGAAGGGGGTACGAGTTAAAACTCACCGAAGGGAACCGAAATCGCAACGACCGAATGCAAGTTGTAGGAGGCTGACCTGTTGAAGAAGGGCGAGGAAGAAAGGCAAGAGACTGGTCCTCCAGTCCATGTCCTTTTGAGGTGCCGATCACCGGACGTCAGGATTCACTTCCATTCATTTGGATACGATACATACGAGAGACGAGAAACACAGATCCTGCCGGACGAAACGGTGGGTGTAAACTGACGTGTGTGGAGTGGGGGTCCCCGGTCCGTACGGTAGGCTCCATCCCCTCCCCTCCCCTCCCCTCGGCAGTGGCTCCGCCCCTCCCTTCATAAT